CTCGCAAAGAGTTTTGTAATCTGTAGCGCTGCTACTGCTGCTTTATCCAGTTTTTCTTTTTTTTCTCTCTCTCTCTTTTGTGTTTGGAAAATCATGTTGTTTTTGATTGTTCATTTATAGGGTAGCTTCGTTGCTCTCATTTTTTTTTTTTTTTTTTTATTATCGAGACGGTTTCTGATGCTGAATTCCGTGCTTGGCTGAAAAACACGTACAGAATTTTTTGTTTTTTTTTGTCCGGAAATCTGCGTACGCTGTTGCTTTTGTTCATTGAAAGTACTTGTTCTTTCTGTTTGCTCTCAGAATTTCTAAATAAAACGAAACTGTATAGTATCGTGGATTGTTTAACTCTAAATGCCATTTTTATTTTCATATGAATTGTTGTTGTGCACGTATTTGGTTTTTTAAATAAAACAGAGATTTCTTGGGGATTTTTTCCTTTGAAAATTGGGTGCCGTTCGCCGCACTTCTATTTATCATCGATATTTTTGAATTCAAACTGAAATTGAAAATGCATTATGAAGTGGATATCGGAGGGAATTTGTGTTTAACTCTATAAGGAACTTATATCTTAATTTTTTTCGCCAACTAAGATCTTGTGATTTTCGCATTTCCGTCGCTCCAAACATTCGGGTTTGTGAGTCGGCCCAGTGTGCCGCTAGCCCTCCCACTGTTCTTTGAATGCATCGTAGGTAATATTCAGCTATTCGTTCCTTTTCTGTTATCTATAACTGATGACTCCAAACGACATGTTAAATGGCGAACTGTAGCGGAATCTGGCATCCTGTGCTTTTTGGCCATCAGGTTGCGAGTTTGCCGTAGTTGTAGCAAAACTTGGAAGTTTTACTTAGAAGCTTCGTAACAGTATTCCCCAGCTTATCCATCGCATGAGAAGTGAAATTTCAAACTCAGTCTTTGTTGGTATTTGAACTTTTCAAACATAACTTTGGCATATGATTTTGCCATTTGAAGGTCAAATCTCGGGATTGGGTTTCGTGATTGTGCCGGTTCATCGGGATTATCTTGGCTTACTTTTTTCCGATGACATATACGAGGGAGGATTGCCTGGTTTACAACAGGAATGGTTATCTAGGTCGCTAAAATTCAGCATTTCAACTAAAATCTTAGGCATTTTCTCCAACGTTTTTGGCTGTCAAACTACAAAGCATTATTTCCTTTAGCTTGTGTATATGGTGTTTCTATTCAAGGACGATGAGAAAAGACTAGGCTGAACCTGGTACCTGTGCGCCGGAGAGTAAGGGTCAGCCAAGAATGAAGCGTAAAATGGGCAGTAGGGGAGGGCTTCTTTAGACATGGCCATTCTCGGATTTACTCTTTTAAGGATTCTGCAGTGTTCCTTCCAATGTGCGGTTGCTGATGGTGCTTCGAAGGAAGAATGCGACGCTGGTGGTGGTTGGTGATATCGGGCGAAGTCCACGTATGTGCTATCACGCGAAATCATTGGCCGATAAAAATTATCACGTACAGATTGTTGGTTACGCCGATTCGGTGATGCATCCAGTCATTGAGCAGCATCCTCTGATCAGGTACTACTCGATGTTGTGAACCAATTACTGTGTACTGTATGATTGCGTTCTGGCTTCTCTGCCCCTTGTACTGAATGCTATCATTAGAGGTACGCTTTGAGGTCCTGTTCAGTTTACGATATACGCTTTGATGTTTTGAGTTACCTAGCAGCTGTTCCGTGACTGCTGGCCGAATCTGCATCACCTGATTGCCTTCCATGATAGGGATTTTTTTTTATGCGTTTTGTGCTGTGTAACAGCGTTACAAGACGCATATTGTCACGGGGTTGTCTGTGTGTGTGTGTGTGTGTGTCCCGCATTTGTCCCGCACTTTCAATTCGGGAACCACAAAAGCTAGGCGGCTGAAATTTTGCTATAGTGTTCTCCGCCAGCGTGTGACGCGGCAAATTTATGTTCAGCTTCCCCGTACCCGCGGGTAACTCGTACGGCCCCGTGAAAGTTTTTTATGGGTAAATTAATATCTCAGGAACCAGGAGATCTAGGAAGCGGAAATTTTGGGGCAATGACCCTCTGCCCACGCTCAACCTTGCCCATTCAAATTCAGCCTTCCCGTACCAGCGGGTAACACGTACGGCCCCGTGAAAGTTTTTCACGGATAAGTTAATATATCTCGGGGACCACGGAGTCTAGGAGGCTGAAATTTTAGGGTAATGATCTCTTGCCCACGTTCAGCCTTGCCTATTCAAATTCAGCTTTCCCGTACCCGCGGGTAACACACACGGCCCCGTGAAAGTTTTTCACGGGTAAATTATTAACTTGGGAACCACGGGGTCTAGGAAGCTGAAATTTTGGGGCAATAACTCCCTGCCCACGCTCAACCTTGCCCATCCAAATTCAGCGTTTCCGCGCTCTTGAGTGTCATATACAGCCTCGTGAAAATTTTGGCGCGTAAACTATTAACTCGGGAATCACGGAAAGATATTCACTTTTCAAGATTTCGAATTCAGCTTTCATGCGCTGGTGCGCGAAATTTTTAACTATTTTCCAATGTTTAAACTATTTTTGCACAGACAAAAGTACAAGGCAGTGAAAATCATCAATAGGCAATCGTTCGATGGGCTGAATTGCACAAAACGCATGATCGCACCG